TTCTGGGATTCCTATTTTCCTGGGAAGCATTAGCAATGTGGTTTATAACACTGATCTAGCCCCTGATCCTCATCCAAAACCAGCTAATGGTTACAGTCGACAATCCAGGAGAACCTTATTCCTCTTTTTATGACTTTTTGAGCAACAAAATGTTGCAGTTCTCACTTCTCTTCACAGTTTTTCAATCTTCAACACTGTAGACTTCAAGAGTATCACTTAATTCAACTTTTTGGCATTAAAATTAGCAATGTTTGATTTAATAGCAATGTCAATTAACACAAATTAGAAAATGAACATTGGACCAATCTCCCATGTGGGTCTCGCTTGTTATTTAACTTGGTGAATTTCTCAGTTTTCTTATACCTGTAAAACCGGAAATCGTTTCGAGTAGAATCACAAAATGGAAGAGAGGCTGAAAAGATATGTAAAGGTGGTCTGGTGTTTGAGCCAGAAGCTCACCTATTTATTTTTAAACATCAAGATTTCAAAGCCTCTAAATAATGGAGAAACATTTCCTTATAATTGAGTATTGTTGGTTACCAAGACCTTTCAAATCAAATGTCAGCTTACTGGATTTTGCTAGGCAAAGCCAGACCAGATATATAGACTTTAGTGATATCTTAAGAGTTATGATGTACAAATATTTAATGCTCATCTCTTTTTAGAATTCCCCTCAAGCTTCTTCCTCAATGCCCATTCCGCAGACCATTTTGTGATTCTGTCTTGGACCAGGTAACTCTTTTTCACTTTGAAGATAAGCCTCGACCTGGAGTTCTAGACGTTGTACAGACACTGCAGAATCAAGCTAAACTTCGTGTTTTAATGTTAACCGGTGACCATGAGGCAAGTGCACATAGAGTTGCTAAAGCTGTGGGTATCAAAGAAGTTAACTGCAGCCTAAAGCCGGAGGATAAACTTTATCATGTTACAAGCATTTCAAGGGATACAGGTGAGTCACAAAAGCTGCAATGAGCGGTCATGTTTTTAGACCCATTTTAGATTTCCAAATTCTAAAAAAAATTATTTGTGGTTTTGCACATTTGCTCACTTAACTAGCTCGTGTTCATAGTTAACTCGCATCTTAATACACAAGCCAAATGACAACTTATCAAGAACAATGAAAATTACTCATGCTAAGTCACCAGATTAAATTACGCCCTCCGGTCCACAATAAGTGACCATTTTATCTTTGGCACACCCATTAAGGAAATACTAACTCCTAGAGAAAAAAAGATGTGTTCACTAAATTAACCTTAATTAATTGTTACCTTAACACATTGGAATATACTCCCTCCGGTCCAAAATAAGTGATTTTTTAGCTGTTTTCACACAGATTAAGAAATCCACCTTTTAGCATTAATTAGCAATGAAATTGATCATATTAACCTTTGCTATCTCTTCACTTAAATATTCCTAACACATACTCCAACACTATTTACTTCAAGGGCAATGTAGGAAAAAAATAATTAATTCATTCTTGAAATCTGAAAAAATCACTTATTTTGGACCACAAAAAAAATGTCAAAAAATCACTTATTTTGGACCCCGGGGAGTATAAATAAGGGCAAGTTTTGAAAAAATAAAATTAATTCATTCTTGATTATGTAAATGGACACTTATTTTTTACCAAAATAAAAAGGTAAAACAGTTACTTATTGTGGACCGGAGGGAGTAATAAATAGCTGGGGCAGCTCTGGTTAAATGCTTCTTTAGGATTTAATAAATGTTCTGTGAACCAGGTAGTACCTGTGTAACTAGTGGTTCTATGGAAAGAGGTGTCATTTGCCTCTTTTTAAGCCTTACAGCTTACCCTAAACTTCTCAACCAACATGGGTCTAAAGTTTCCTTAAACCTTAATTAATTGGACAATCTGAATGGGTAGCTTTTATGTTTCTCTTTCCTATCAATATATCTAACATTAACTACTATAGACTAAATAGACGTTGCCCTTATTCGGACATTGATCATTATACCATGTGGACCAATTCACAGTATTCCTAGACCAAACTTCAGAACAATTTTTCAAATTTTGTGCTTAGATGTATTCCACAACCCCTTTAGGCCTGATGTTGATGCAGTGTGTTTGCTCCTTTTTTTGGCTCTCATGTCATGTAATGACACTGTAGTGTGTTGATAACAATATCACTTCTTAACTATTTCTTCATTATTTTGTCCTCTTTCTTCCCCAAAACTTAACCCGACAAGTTTCCCTGGTAAATTTATCCGATATGTTTTTTCACAACACACACATTTAATTGCAGATCTTGATGAGCCTTGTATAGCATAATTCCAAGCTATATCATTTCGTTTATTACTATCCGATGACGCCATTTCAATGCTGTTTTATAGAAAAAAAATTATCAAGTCAATATGCAATTAATTCTACTCTATAAGACTATAAGTCTATAATTGAAAAAACAGAGCAAACAAAATAGAGCCTAAAAAGAAAGAGCTACTGCCTCTGCTCTGCCTCTGCTGCTGGTCGAAAAACAGAGCCCAAAAAAGAAAATAAGAGAAGAAGAAAGAGGAAGGGAAGAAAGAAAGAAAGAGCTACTGCCTCCACTCTGCCTTTGCTGCTGGTCGAAAAACAGAGCCAAAAAAAAAAAAAAAAAAAAAGACTAAGAAGAAGAAAAAGGAAGAAAGAAAGAAGAAAGAGCTGTTCACTGAAGAAAGAAGAAGACAACAACGGTGCAAGTCGAACTGAAGAAAAAAAGAAAAAGATAGCTAAACTAGAAGAAGAAGAAAGGAGAAGCAGAAGAAAAGAAAAGAAAGTAACATACCTGGGTTACCGTGCTGATGGCTGATGATGGAAGAAGAAGAAAATGAAGCCCTAATTTTTCTGTTGCTGAGAAACGGTCGCTGAAGGAGAAGTGAAACCCAAGCCCTAAATTTGTATTTTAATCTCTGTTGCTGCCTTTTCTTCCTTTTTTTTCAAATAGCGTCGCTTCACCGCCTCTCGCCTCGCAGCGCCTCTCGCTACACAGGCAAAGGCGTGCGCCTTTTCTGAATCGCAACGCAACAGAGCAAAAAAGCGCTACTGCCTTGCGTCGCATCGCCACACTTTATTAGCGACGTAGCGCTCGCTATTTACAACACCGCTTAGAATAGAGGACCTTATAGGTGAAACTGGATGGGATAAAACATACACCCGAAGTTATTTTGCTGTTCATGGTAACAAGGAAATCTTAATCATTCTCATTTCTCTCAACTTTAAGGGTCCCGGGAATGTGTATGTATGGGGTGCAAACTTGGATACATGCTAATCAACTGTAACTTTTCACGATAATTCATGTTTCCTTACTGTGCTAATTGTTACCTGACTAATTACTATACTTCTGAGCAGGTGGCCTTATAATGGTAGGTGATGGCATCAATGATGCCCCAGCACTTGCTGCAGCTACTGTTGGTATTGTGCTGGCTGAACGAGCTAGTGCGGCTGCCATAGCTGTTGCTGATATACTGTTGTTACAAGACAATATTTCCGGTGTCCCATTTTGTGTTGCGAAATCTCGTCAAACAACATCCTTGGTATTTCCTTTTCCTTTGTAATCAAGACGTCTTTCTATATGCTGCTGATGCTCACCCCTATACATGCAGATCAAGCAAAATGTGGCACTTGCTTTGTCTAGCATTCTTTTGGCCTCTCTTACATCAGTATTGGGAGTCCTCCCACTGTGGTTGACGGTATAACTCTATTCCAGATATTTCTCACCTTAAGTTTATCCATCTTGTTTCAATCAATCTGTATATCTGTCCAGCTTGCTGCTGTTAGTCTTTGTGCAGCTATTAGGTCCAACAATTATAACCTAGTAGGAAACACAAGTTAACCTTTGTGAAATTTTCTTATTTCTAAGTTGTCCAATTCCTGTGATTCTTGGAAGATAGATAGATTTACATTCTGCCGGGGAGTTGCAACTACGGAAAATGAGAAACTGCATTTTTGCCCTAGCTTGGTCGCTATCTTAGTAAATTCGTTTGAGCTGGTGTGTCAACATGCAGGTCCTCTTGCATGAAGGTGGCACGCTTCTTGTTTGCCTCAATTCTGTTCGTGCTCTAAATCCTCCAACATGGTCATGGAGGGAGGATGTTTCACAAATGATTGACAAATTGCATTCTCTAATTATGTTCTTGAGGCATGGCACCCTACCTAGCACCATTCAAGCAGCCCATTTGTGAGTATTGACCTCCTGCACTGTAGCTGTTCACATGCCAATTGAGATGGAGTGACGAAAACTTTAAACTTTGTTGTCAGAAAGTGAAGAATACTGCACTGTACATGTTGAACCTCATCAACTAGATTGTCAGGTGTACACTTGAGGCTAAATCAGCCCTATGTATATTCTTTTCCATGTTTCTGGACTTTCCATGATATTAGGCGGTATTGAAATGTTACTGTAAAGATGTAAGCGGCAAAGCATCTAATTTTTAATGCAGGACGTTAGGGAACCATTAATCATCAAGTTAGTTGTCTTGTACCACATTTGTACGAGTCTCCTGTTGGAAAATGGATTTCTGGTCTTATCTTTACCTTAATGGCTTGGTCAAACGTGCTAACGTTCAATTTCAGTTATGATGATGCGCTCGAACAGTTTTTCATGTGTTTACACACGGCACTAAAGATGGAAAAAAGATCAATTCAACTCTCTCAAAAATGATGGAATCTGTATAATTTGAGAATGCAAAACTGACAAACCACTTTTACGTCCAGCTTATACATGTCTATTCTGGGTATAGGGACATATGTGAAAGGTACAGGCCGACTAGATTTCTTTTTGAAAGGAAAAAAAGGTAACACAACAACTCTCTCCAAAATCTTCGACGTTTTGTAAGTTTGTCTGCAAGGAGTTTCATCTGAAGAGGAGGAAGTAATGGAATATGACTACTGATGCAATTGTGACCTTTCTTATTGCTGCTTGCATGTTTTCAGCTTCGCTATGGCATTACTCATACAGTATTGTCCACAATTCAATTCTTTCAATTTTCAAAGGAAAGACAAATAATTTCAAGAATAAAGTTATGAACTTTTCTTCATTCAAATCCTTCCATCAGATTTCATTTTTCATTTCAATGGCGGTAGGGTCTCTCAAAACATATTTACTTACCTAGTTTTTTTCTTGTTTTCTAAATCTGCCTGAATATAAATTAATAAAACGTCTTTTTTAATCTTTTTTTTTTCTTATTTGTTCCAGCCTTGGCATTTCTGCCATTGGAACTCGGCTTTATACTCTCCCTCCCACTCTCTCTGTACAAACAGTCTAAAAACTACTTCCTTTTTTTATGATCCCACACGGTTGAAGCTCAAAGCCAACATGTGCCCCCTAAACATAGAGAGAAACGAAACAAAGATAGTTTCTTTCTCTACCTCCCTCTCTCTAATCGATTTTGCTTACTCCCATGCGATTAGCACCTGTATTCCTGAATCCATCAGTAGCTTGTTGCATACACAAACCTAACCCTATTCCACTTGGCATTTGATGATTTTGTTGCTGAAACTGCTGCTGTTGTTGATAATGTCGCTGCTGTTGCTGCTGAAATTGTTGCTGTTCAATCCCTACCATATAGTTCCTCACCTCCGCTTTAATCATCTCCTGCATCACTCCCAACAACTCCTGACTAAACGGCACAAACACCTTATCTTGCTGTTCTGCTGCAGCTTCCTGATTTAAAGGAGCACGTTGAAACGACACCGCCGCAGCCTGAGGCGGCGGTGGTGGAGGTGGCGGAATCTGCATAGCAACAGGAAGCATCTGGAACGGATTCTTCAACTGAGTTGACTCGGCCGAACGATTAGAAAACTCGGTCAAGTCAACTCCGGGAAGCGAAAGGCTGAGGGAAGTCGGCGGATCATCGGAAGGAGATGACGTGTCAATAGACGGCGGCGGAAACACACCGCCGGCTCTGGCGACAGGCTTGAATAAGTGAGATTGAGACGATGAAGTGACATGAAGGCTCGAATCACTGTCCGAACCCGACGGGCTACCGGGACTGAAATGGAAACCGGACACCGGCATGGCGGATCCGGCACTAACAGATCTCTTTAACGGCGGCTGTTGATTTTGAAAAATTTGATCGGCGAGTTCGTTACCTTCATCAGCACTAAGAGAGGAGGACTTCCTCTTCAAGGTAGAGTTCCAGTGGTTCTTAATGGCGTTATCGGTTCGTCCATTAAGAAGTCGGGCTATAGTAGCCCATTTATTCCCAAACCGAGCATGGGCCCGAATAATGGTCTCATCTTCTTCGGGAGTAAAAGCCCGATGCTCTACTTGTGGAGATAACTGATTGCACCACCTTAACCGGCATGATTTACCGGATCTTCCAGGTATGGATTTGCTAATAAGAGACCAATTTCGTGGTCCATGTTTATGAACGAGCTGCTGTAGAAGGTCGTCTTCTTCGGGGCTCCATGGACCTTTAACCCGATCCATATCTTTCTTAGAACTGTTACTGCTATTTGCCATTTTTGTGTTGTATGTGTGTTTTAGAAGAGGAAACGTGAAGAAGCGGAGAGTTATATATGGGAGAAGAGGGTATAAAAGGGAAAAGGGATGACCGGTAAAGCCGGTAAGTGGGGAAGAGTTGTAAGCGTTATGGGCACCGATTGATTTTCTTAATTTTTTTTTTTGAAAAAGGAGGGATAGGGAAAGCGGTTGAAAATTAGAGATGGAATACAGCTGTAAACAGGGACACGCGTCATAAAGAAAGATTACACTGATTTACACAATAACAGATGGAAGGGGTTGTGTGTAGGCTCCTGTTTTCAGTTTTAGGGAGGCCGTTCCTCCTCTTTTTCTATAAGCTGCGTCTGCATTACTCTTCTTTTTTTCCACTCACCCCCCAAGGAGATTTGTTTGGTTCTAATGGAAACAAACAAAATTGAAAATGTAACAGAGTCAGAGGTTGTTACCTGGTAATTTGGGTGCCACTCTGTAGGAATAACAACAAGCAAAATGGGGAACACAAATTTTAACTTCAAGTCAGATTAATAGTGCTGAAAATGTTTCATTTTTTTTTCTTCCTTAAGATAGATTTTTACTTGATCCATTAAGTTGAACTGAATAGGTCGATTAAATTAGTAACACTTGAGGTTCTTTTTGTACGTAGAAATATCATATTAAATTTTTTAATTATTCCACCACACTTCCTAGTGTTTATTTAAAAGGCTTGCATTGAATGAGCTGGTAAATGTATCCCAGTTAAAGAAACTCATTATTCATACACAGTAAATCAGTTAAAGAATGATGAAAATCCTCTGTAGATTTAAAACTTTATTAAAGAGAAATAAAGCAAGTGACTTGTAACTGAAATCATGATACATTTATTTATTTTTAATTAAAATAAGTATGGGTGTGAGTGGAAGAGAGAGAGAGAGAGAGAGAAGATTAGGGTAACGGTTGAGGAGATGATTGAAAAGACAAAGAAGAAATAGAAAGAGAGTGAGGCCATCAGCTTTGACTGAAAGCGAGCAGAAACTGCAGTTGACAGCCTGGAGAGCATATAACTTTTTTTTTCTTTTTTATGGGGATGGGATATTTATCTACCCACTCCTTTAATTCTTTCTTTTTTTTCTTTTCAACCCCTGAAAATGAAACGGCCGCACGGACGTGCTGAGCTGGCACTAAACGACAACTTTGGTCGCCGAATCGGAAGGCGGATCATTACTACAATCCTGTCAGTCCAGCCTGTTTTCTTATTTTTTTTATTCTTAAACCCCTTCAACTTCCCTCAATATACATATCCCTCCTTTCATTCTAATTGCAACTCCAACGGCCTTTGTCCCAACTCTTATCACCATCAAAACCTGCTACTACCCGTCAATCGGTCACCGCCTCTTTTTAATACAGGAAATTATTTATTTAAATTGACTCATTTATCAAGCAATAAACGCATTAATATTCTTTTTTAATAAAAATCAAAGAAATCTAGCATTTAAGCTTTACGGGAACTTTTATTATGCAGACTAAATTATTTTGGGATTATAATAACAATAACATGCTCAATATATTTTTAAATGTGAGGTATTCTTGGATTATAGTCCTAAAATTATGATCTCTCGACTAATTTATCTTACCTGGGAGATTAGATAAAATAACCTCAAGTTTGATGAATAAGGTGGATACTCAGGATTAAGTTTGGTATTATATTAATACTATCTTTGGTTTGACGGTATAAATTTAACTTGTGACGTACTTATTCGTTAGACACAGTGTAAATTTAATCTCACACTTTATTCCACCTTATCCCCATACCGAACAACCTCTATAGATTTAACATTTAAGTTTCTTAGTATTAAACTAATTATATTTTTAATGTTATGAGTTCAGATCCACTATGTGTAGTAATTGTACTGAATTTTTACACTTCAATTTATACTCTATATCAAAAAGATTAAGTTCAGATAAATTAGTACTGTAACACTACATCCCGCTGAGTATAAGATATACATTAAAATTATAGACAATTTACATATATTTAGTTAATTTTATATTAATTTATCAGTTAACTAAAATACTTAACACATAAGTTGGGTAGGAAAAATTTGTTCCTATAAAGATGTGCATGAAACCGTCCTTTCCGCATAAAGTATACCTGTACGGATCAGGTAACCCACGCTCTCATACACGCTTCCCAAAAACACTGGTCACTTTCCTACGACCTTCCTTCTCATCCACTTTCTCTTTATTTAAATGAAACTTTGAGTAATCTCTATTATAGGACCCTAGATTTTAGTGTGAATACTGAAACGGGTAAAGGATTTAGATTAAAAAATTAGTAAAATAGAATATAGTAATAAAAAACAAAAATAAAAAAGTGGGAGAGGGCAGGGCAGAGATAATAATAAATGAGAAAGATAGGAGAGAGGAGATATGCGTATCCGTTTCTGTTACTCGTACGTCGTACCTACTACCTAATGCCCAGCTGTTTGGCATGGCTGTTGGGTTGTAGTCCCCCATCTCTAATATTATCTCTTTCTCTTCTCCTTCTAACAAAATTCCTTCAATACTTGTTCGTCGGTTGTTATAAATTTTAGCAAATAATTATATACTATCTTTTTTGGATTATTCTTTTTCGTCAATGAATTTTAGTACACTCGATCAGTTGTAACCTTTGTCTCTCTAATTGATAGCATATCTAAAGAATAATAACTTCAAGATTTATTTTTCATATCTTTATGTTTTTCTTCAGAGACAAAATCAGGATTTTAAAGGTTATCGATTCTAATTATATCATCCAACCCTAACTCGTTTTAATTATTAAATTTTCAATTAAATATTTTACATATTTAAAGTTACTGTATTTATTTAAACACGTAGCTACTACACCACCCCCGCCTCTGCCTTTCTTTATCGAAATATACAGAAAGTTCAACATTCAAAACAATATAATGTTCTAGCTAAATTAACATTGCATCTCCTTCTACCTGGCCGAAAAATATTTTTGATATAGACAAGCCACGTCAGAACCATGATAGCCTTCGTCGGCTGCCATGTGCTATCAGTAAGGTCTCCACAAATATCTGCCCCAGGTAGAAGTAGCCTCGAAGTGATGAAGGGTGTGGTCGAAGAGTTAGCAAAAATCAAGATCGTGAAGTCATCATAGTTCAAGGTCGAGGCCGAGCATCTTAGACAGAGTTATAACGACTAGTTTTAAGATAGGACACAAAAGAGAATATTCTAGTAGATATTCTCTACACATGTACTATTAGGGTTTCTAGGAACATGTTCCCTGTAAATAGAAAGAGACACTATGATAGGGGAGAGGAGATTTCATTTGTTAAAAATACACTGACTTTACAGAGAGAATCTGTTCCTATTGCAAGCATACAAAAGATTCTTGTCTACCATTTTCACTGGATCCAAGTAACAACCTAAGTGTTCAAAGGTTTATCAACCATTCATCATTGTGAGAGAGAATATTCACTTATTCATCCCTTTTTGGGTGACTCACACGTTTTATTGACTTAAATGCCACTTATTGCTATTTATCAATTTAATGCCATATTCCATCTTGTTGGATTATTGAATATTGTTATTACTGCTTATATTCATTGCCATCCGAAAGATTATACAAGTTATTTGTCACAACACCGATAGCTTTATCTTTAGGATATTATTATTAGCTAAGATTAACTTTTCTTTATTTAAATCTAATTGGTTGAACCGAGATCTATATTTTTGGTCAAACAGTTTGGCCCCATATGTGGGAAATTCTTAGTTAGTTTTGTAGTTTCCTTTAGATCTACAGCTAACGTGAGTCACTAACCTCACAAACCCCAAGGTCTTTCTCTTTCTTTGCACATATAAAAACCTACATGGTAGGTAACTAAGGAGAGAGGACAAATGTAACAGGTGATTTCCTCTGCAATCTCATGAACGCTATCAATGAGAGCTGCGAAATATTAAGCGAGGACGACGCCCACTGCCTCCCCCAAGAGCGAGAAGTTGCCTCCCCCCATTATAGCATAACGAATCCCCACCATCGGGACCGTGATGACGCCAAACATCACACTTGCTAGGCAAGCCAACGTTAGAGTTTTATTAGCCGATTTCGTTACGTTTCAGTGATTAACAATAAGCTTTAGTGATCAACAATAAACAAGCTAAAATAAATTAAAATGAATGCGGAAGTAAATACATAGCCACTTTGATTATATACTATTACTACCCAGAATCCGGTGTCATAATCCACGAACATTCTAAGATTTTACTACAAGCATTTGTCCAAAAGAAAATATAACTGTTTACAAAATAAGGAAAATAGTAAAGTATGGAATATAGAAGGGGACGCCTGGGCCTACGACACCAACATGACTACCTTAGGTCTCCAAGCAAGTGAATCCTACAGCCAACCTCTCGATCAGAACGAACCTGCTCCAAAATTTGCACAGGAAGTGCAGAGTGCAGTATTAGTACAAGCGACCCCATGTACTGGTAAGTGCCGAGCCTAACCTCGACGAGGTAGTGACGAGGCTACGGCGGGGCAATCACAATATAACCTGCATACAGTGTATAATAAAAGCAGAAAGAAAGGCAGGATAAAATAGAGCAGTAGCTTGCAAGGAATGAATACAAATCTCGAAGCATATCATCAGTGCTCAGCTATTACCAATCCTTAAGTGCAATTTAAGACTACCGTTCAACTAACATAGTCAAGGAAAAATATAAGCATAAAGGTTGTTGCGGCTTGCAACCCGATCCCACCATATCAAAATAAACACAATCACAGTTCACCCTTATTTCACCACAATCCACCCTTATTACACCTGTTGCGGCGTGTAACCCGATCCCGCCGTACATAGCATTTCACCCTTATTCCTTCTCAATATATCACCCTTATTCCACCTGTCGCGGTACGCAACTCGATCCCACCATATAAACATCACTTACTCAACAAGTACATAAATTACACAATTCAAATCACATAACTCATCACAAGGCTCAACTTCAAACCAAAACATTTAGGAAGATTATACAATATGAGGCTTTACACAAGTAATACTACTCAGAGAGACC